CAAACTACTTTTACTGATCGGATTTCAATTCATAAAAAAAATTTAAAATTTTGTTATGGTTTTCTGTAGCAATATTCATATAACCGATTTTTAATTTAAGACCCCTTGATCGATCTACCAAGAAAACATTGATGAACTGAACCAGCACCCGATTGAAGAATATATTTATGCTCTTATTTCCTTTAATCCTTTTACAACTCCGTTAACATTTGTCATTAAGTTATCATATTTACAGTAAAGTTGTGCTTGTTCTTATTGTATATTCTTCAATGCAGCTTCTTTGCTGGACATCCATTTTGGTTGTCATCGCTACTCCTTCATATGCTAACATTCCACGTCCTATTGCATATTGCCAAGGCAAACAGATGTTGCAGTTCCACAAGTTCATATACGAAATAATTTTCAAGGATCAATTCATTAAAATCACCTGAAGCCACTAATAGTTATTCATATATTATATGCACATTAATATAAACTTACAAAAAAAAACAAAGAAAAATACCAAAAGTAAAAAAAAAAATATTTGCAAATAAATTAATATTTGAATAATCAGAAATTGTTTAATGTAAACAAACTCAACCAGCCAATTGGCAAAGATTATATGCTGCCTATTAAATGTTTTCAATGAAATTCAAAACTTAATTTAAGACTATTTAAAATATATTATAAGAAGTCGTGCGCTTTTCCACAAAGATGCAACATGGTTTTCTAGTAGGGGCGCCGAATCGCCATGAGGGAGCAAGAAAGCTGTCTACTTATCCAACCTTTAATTATCGAATCATGGTTTTCTCCAATATAAAAAAAGTTGTAGATTTTGAAATATATATTTTTTTAAGTTAGCCTTTGATTGATAAAAGTTGAAATCAGCTCGTTTTTTTAGTGTATAGTTTCTTCAATATTGACATTTTTCTTTCGATTTGGAATACTAAAAATATATATACACAGTTTTTTTTTGTTTTTATTTTTATAATATGTATATGTGTAATATATGTATTATATCTTTAAGATATTTATATTTTCTAGACTATTGTTGCGTTTTTTTTATGAATATGCTTAATACAAAAAAAAATTCACTAAGCGCACAGTTTATTACTTAAAAAATATTTAATAAAAAAATAATAATAATAAAATAGTATAATACATGTATATTAAAAAATAAGTTTAAATAGCTAATACAACCCTGTATGGAGTTTCTATTAAGTAGCTGAAGTTATTTATTATTAAATAATAATAATTTTTAAATCTAGTATTTAAACGAATAAAAACTCAAATTCAAAAATCACTTCATCAGCAAATTAAAACTTTAAATTTAGAAGATAAAGAAGGTAAAGTGGTGGAAGTCAACAGTATTGATTTGGAAATGTAAAGTTATTTAAGTGGCACAACCAGTGGACATTTGCAAAAAAATCATTTTTTTTTAACATTTCAGAGGCGTGACTGTAATAGTTGCGGCGTAATCCTAAAACGCGTGAGATCAGTCAACTAAGTTTAAGTGGAATTTTTTTTTTTCAAACTCGTTTTTCTCGAAATTTGCTGTCATTGTAACTCAAAAACCAATCATCCGATTGAATTGAAACTTTTTTTTTAACAAAATTCACATTATTTGAGGCATGTGATTCTTGTATATTTCAATCGGATTAAAATTTTAAATTTAGCATAGCAAAAAGCGTCGGATTTTTAAGCTAAATTTTAATTTTTTTTTCATCCATTATTTTCCATTTTTTACCTCAGACATGGATCGCTTTAAAGTTCATGCAATCATTTTTAAGCCGTTTTAGCCCTGAAGGTAGATAGGCTGACAGCAAAATGGAAATGTTTTTTTTTTTTGGTCCTCGTTGAGAATGCAAGAATCATCATGGGTATCATCAAGATATCAGGGTTCCGTGATCGATCAAGCGGTTTAACTCTAACTGACTGACTAATATCAATATGTTTAGTAAGTGTTTGGAAGTTTAATCGACTGAAAGAACTTTTAGCGCGGAAGTATGAGATTTTTATAATGAATTTGCACTGCTACAAAAAAAAACAATAACTATTAAAACAATACAAAAATTTCTCTCTACATCTCTAAAACTGTGAGACCGATTTGCCTTCAAATGCAGATATAGCACATCCAGCCAGTTCCTCAGCTTCTTGAATTCGATTTAGATTTTGATGGGCGAATTTCTTCCATTTCTGATACTTTCTCTCGGTTTGAAAAAAATATGTAAAGATACCTTATTGAAAGGCAAATATACCATTGACACTATAAAAAATTCAATGAAGAAATTTTTCATAAAAATTTCCAAAAATCATCTTCTTCTTTCCGTCACACCAGTTGAGCGCCTTTAAAAAATTTAAAAATTAGAGTTTTTGTACTAACTTCTGGAATTTACTATTCATTTTTTTTCTCTAAAGCCCTTAATGTTTAGATTAGGTGAAAATCGTAGTCTAATTGCTATACAATTTTGGTCCTCAAAAATACAGCATAACAAAGTACAGAACTGCGCATGCGTAACTTACTTTTTTTTTTTTTTTTGACGCTTGACGCTTTGGAATCGCTGAACCGACTAACTTAGTTAGCTTCATCATTAATATATTTTCTCAGCTGAATATCTTGACTTCCGAGACAAATTTATACCGGTAAAAGTAATGGTGGCATTGAGCTTATGAAAGCCAAACTAGTAAAGGTCATTTGATGTTTCAGAAGACACTGTTATTTGTGGTCTTGGATATATTTATTCGTTCTCAAAGACATTCATTTGTCATTCTGTCCACATTACTTAACTTAAAAACTAAAATTTGGTAAGGATATCGATAACACAGAGAAATTCTATAGCTCATTAAGGAAAACATATTCTAGACAAGCATTATTTGGGCAAAAAATTGAAGATTGAGAAGTGACATAACAAGCAAACCATCATGACACATATTGAACTCGTAGATGCATATACAGCGTGTGCCATTTAGACCTTTGGTATTTCAACATTGAATAATTCTGTGCATGATTCTGAAACGTCATTCAGTGCCATGAGCCAATACACATTGGAAGAACGTGCTGAAATCGTAGCGCTTTACATTCAGAAACCATCGTTCAGTTCTGAAAACACGCACTGCTTAAAGCATGAGCACGCAATTTTATGAAAAATTGTAATTTGGAGTGGCCGCCACGTTCGCCATCTTTAAATGCAGCTGACTTTTTTCTTTGGGGCCATTTAAAAAGTAAAGTTTATGTCAGCCAAAGGCATTCGACGGACTCAAAGGTTGAGCACACAAGCCGAAATAGCAGCTATAACGCCTGAACTGCTGGCCTATATTATGCAGAATGAGCGAAAAAGAGCTGATTTTTTTGTGTCCTGGTCCTTTAATCGACGTTGTGTTCTAAAATTGATTCCAAATAGGTGGCCAAGTATATCCTAAAAAACTTGCTCATTCGTCAAAATCGGCTGGAAAATGTCTGAGTTCCTCAATGTTGAAATAAAGTAGGTCTAGAAGGCGCACCCTGTATGTATGAACAAATGTATCTTTATATTAAGGTGTACCAAAAAATGCTAACCCATGGTTTGAAAACTAACTATTTACTGAGGAAACCATGTCGCTGAAATCCTATAATTGATATATATTTAAAATAAGTCAAAATAAGCAGTCTACGACTTTGAAACAAATCTTCAACACGTTGATTCTTAAAGAAAAAAACTCATAAAAAAAACCTACCTCAAACGGCTCAAAAGTTATGTTACTTAAATGGGAATACCCATCGATATTTTAATTAAGCTCTGTAACCGCTGAAGCGATTGTCGGCATAGCTCTGCCTCCTATTTGCGGTGTGCGACTTGATTTTATTTCCAACAAATGAAGGTGTCTACATTTCTTATAAAATCCGCCTACGAATTCATGTCAGAAATACACACGGAAGCCCTGCTGAGGGACGAACGCAATTGGAAAAATTAATTTTCTATAATTTTGGATGTTGGTCAAACCAGGACTTGAGACCAGGTCTACCGAATGAAAGTTCACAATGTTACCACATCGATATTTTCTTATTTTCTAAAATAAAAATAGTTTCATTTCAACCCATTTCGTTAGTTGTTTGTACTTATACATACATATATGCTGAATTGAAGGTGAATACAATTTGTTCTTTATGCATGTGAAAATTTAATTTCATAGAGAGCTGGGCCAATCAAATCTTATTGAAACCGATACTCTTTTCATCTACAAAATATGAAAATATAATAACTACAAATCTGTTTTTGTCTGATATTAAAATTCAAACACTCATAAAATATAATATTCAAGTTTCAAAGTTCTCCATAAATTCTAAATAAAGAATTTTTAACCGTTAAAGTCTGAATTAATTACTTCACATTTATTATGGGTAAGCCAGAATAGATAAGTAGAATAAGGCATATTTAGGGCTTAGAAAAAAAACTATACTGTGCGTTATATATGCAATTAACGGAGTAAAAATTTAAAAGTAAAAATATGTTTTTTAAACAATTTAAGAAAAAAAAATTATTTGTTATTACTAACTACTTTTTATAGATATAATATAATACATATAGTATATTCGTGTATAAAAAATTTAAAAAATAATATTTAAACATATTTCGTATTGAGTTTAAACTATATAATATATATTTTATGGAATTACAGGATATTTTAATACATATATATATATTTTATAATATAATATATTTGGAAATAGTTATCACGACATACATACGTACATTAATGTATAAATGTATGGTTTATACTTGTAAGTGTGTGCGTTGGACACACAACTGTGTGTGTGTGTGTGTGTATATGGAATATATGTATTTCAACAAAAACCCGAGAATAATACTAATAATAAAAATAAGAATGATAATTACAATACTAATAATAATAATAATAATAATAATAATAAAAATAATAATGATAATTACAATAATATTAATATTAATAATTAAATGGAACATTACGATTCTTGTACATATTTTTATAACATTATGTTTGCTTCATAATTTTGAATTTTTACATTTTTTTTTTTTTGTTTTCATTTTTTCATACATAATTATGCTTCTTGTGAAATGCTTGATCCACATCCATTATATATATATATGTATGTATTATATTTTATTTGCAAATAATTATGCAAAATTTAGTTAAAAAAAAAAAATTACTCAGCACGTTTAGTTTTTTCACCACGTAAGTATTCATAGGTTGGCTGACCCAAAAACGGTATGGTCACATCAACCATATTTGGGTAAACCAAAAATTTATTCACTACTTCACATAATTTGCTCTCAATTATGCTTGTCACAATGCTGTAGTCGACAGATTTTTCACCCAACGCAGGCTTGGCGGAAAGCCACAGACGTGGCGGACCACGGAAGCTGTGGATATTAGAGAGAGAGAGAGAGAGAGAGAGAGGGAGAGAGAGAGAGGGAGAGAAATATATTATATAATTTATGCTGAAATTATACCTTCCATGAACATATCAAATTTATTATTTTGCATTCTGGGACTAAATATTCCTTTGTTTGACCAAATCGGTTGTATATGGGACATACAATATACTGTTGTTTTTGTTGGACTTGTTGTTGTTGTGTCGGTTTACCAATCCCGCTTAGAAGCAGACGGGATTGGTAAAAATCATTGAGGTTATATAACGGTATATACAGGGAATGAGTTGTTTCGGATCAGAGGAAATGGGTATGAGTAGAGTACTAGGTTTTAGGGATAATGCAAAAAGTTGGCTAGTGCCCTGAGGTGTCTAATTGCATGCAGGACAAACGTTGGCTTTGTCCTGATCACGTCTGGCTATGCAGGCATTAAAGCGTCTACAATATCCAAATCTTAATTGTGCCAGTACTACTCGGCTCTCTCGAGCTCTCCGTTCGCAATAAGTGGTGCTTGGATTCCGAGTAGGCCATTCCCTGGAAGAGAGTTTATGAAGATGTTGGCATACTCTCGGTGAATGACGTTTAAAGCCTGATGGTGCCGTCCCGTCCGATAGCTCTTGATGTTGCAGTTGATACCGAATGGAGTCGGTATAGTCTAGTACTTCCTTTCTAGGTCGCTGTTTAGTCTTAACTAAATGTCTGTTGGGATGCTACCGTCGAGATTGTTTGCACAGCATAATATTATGCACCTTACCTCGTAACATGGATCTTTCACTGGGTAAGTGTTATGACACGTTGCGTCACGCTAGTACCCGGCGTCCACAACGGAGCAATAGAACTGGCTTACATATTGTGTGCAACGCTTTTTTGTTGTTGTTGTAGTAACCCCAAAAAAATACCCATTGTATTTCCGAGAATATTGCGGGAGGGACAGTCCTTGACTGAATAAAAATCTGCGTCGATCCGACTGTTGCGAGAACAATTGGATTTCAGTCGCCTCTTACAACAGGCATGATTTTTGTACCCTAACCCGTACGGGTAAGCGATTCTTTGTATTTTCCCTAGGTGCTTCCGGCTGTGCCGCTCTGTAATTAATCTGCAATTGCATTTGCATGCAGAATTAATGAGTGCGGCTGTAGTATGTGACTTTCAGTAACTTGAAGTTGGTATTTGTCGAAATTTTTACGCCATCGACTTTCACTTCTACAATACAACTGGGCAAAGGGGTTGCCGAAGATTTTACAGGTACGGCATATGAGATCATTGAAACGTCCTCTGATGGAGGTGAGATCTTCTAGATGTAAGAATTAAACAGCAGCAGGGAAAGGGCATCATCCTGTTGGACCCCTTGTTAAATCTTACCGAGTTTAAAAGTTAAAACTCGAAACTCTACCGCTGATTGTCCACCACTCAGGTATTCAATAGTTCACCTCTTCAACAGAATAGCTGACGAAGTGAAACGCTTTTGACATGAACCAGTACCAGAACAGTTCGCTAGGAGGCTCGGTTTTACACTTTCCGGAAGCAATACTGATGTGCTGCTGTGCTCCGATGATGTGTGAGGGACGGGCGTATCAAGGCCTCAGCTGTCTATACGATATATTTTTGCGGTTTCTTCTTCATATCTGAACAAACCGGTTATATAGGAGATATATGCAGTAATGGTCCAATTGGCCGGTTCCAACAAATGATCAATACAGTATGAAAATACCTATGCTTATCAAGTTTGGTTGAAATATATCAAAAACTAAGGAAATAGTTCGGGTACAAACAGTTGTACAGGCGGACAGTGGTTAATCAATTCAACTCAAGAGTGATCATTGGTCTATCTCTTCTCCTCTTTCTAATTTCATGTTCATGAAAGTTATAAAAAATCAAATTTTGCACTTTCTGCTCTACTTACGACAACCAAATGCGATCCGAGGGCGGCGGTGGAATGTTAATTACACCACGTCCAACTAAACCACGCAAATCCACGCGCAAAGTTATGTTCGTATTCATATTTTCAATGGCACGCTGCACCACCGGCAAATCGGTGGCGTATTGAAAGAAATTCGAAGCTGCAATGCGATCAACAATACGAAAAATGCGACGCGCATTGCCCGGCGCTGTTGGCATAAAATGTTGATAACTGAAAAATAGCAGATACATATTTTTAATTAAATAAAAATCTTCTTATTCATTAACTTTAAAAGCACATACTCTGCTGCACCACCGGCCGCCGCATCGCCTTGTGAAGTCTGCCCTGTAGCTGTTGTTGTGCCAGCGCCGCCGATGATGTTTGTTGCAGAATTTGCAGCTGTTGGTGCGGCTGTACTCTCCGGATCTGTATCCGAGTCACCCGAACTCTCCGCATCACTATCAAATATTACACTATTCGAAACATCGTCAATATTGCTAGGCTCAACCAAATGTAATCTAGATGGTAATGAAGTCCTGTTCGTTGTGTCACCATCAGCTATAACATTAATGGGCGGTATGGTAGTGGCATTCGCCGTAGCAGTGGCGGTGGTGCCGCCAACAGACGCAACAGGTTGATTTAATGGGTTCGGTACAGTTATGGTAACAACATCCGCTGGACGCTTTTGTTGTTTAATACGCATCAAATTCAATTTGGTCGTGACGGTTAGCTGTAGTAGACCCTCATAGGTGACATCGGCATCAACCCAAGTACCACGCTCATCTAGCATTGGCTGTGAGACGCGGTGTATGAGTGGTGGTGTGTCGCCAAGGTTGATTTTTGTTATGATGACATCCTCGATGAAAGAGGGGAGCTGTAGAAGAAGTGTTTGGTTACATTTATTTACATATATAAATACTACAAATTTAAGAATTTCATAAAAATTTTCAATTCTTCCTAGGAGCAGGGAATATTTTCTCAGGAGATTTGTTGCTTTAAATCATGGGGTTTAAAGTTTTTACAGCAGAATTCATTTCAATTGCTATTTACAAATATATAAAAGCCTTTGTTTTTATGTTTGTTTTCTATGTTTGTTTTTATGTTTGTTTTCTGGGATTTACGAAACAGCCCGAGGAATTACACTGCTAGGGCTGACCTATTCGAAAAAATCACATTTGTGGTTCGATTTATTTGATATTCGGTTCATGGCTTTTGACTTCGAGAAACAGGGGGACTACTCTACCCTCCGGGAAGTGGACAGGGACCAAACTACTCAAACAAATTTTTATGTATACTTCCAGGTGTAATGGGGTGTAGTATAGTTTCTGAGTATGCAGTTTCTGTCGCGCGGCTATACTCAAATCATATTCTTGCTTCCAAGTCTCGCAACCTGCAAATGTGCGCAACTCTTGCCAAAGATGCGGTAACCAACCTATATGGAGGTTGGGTCAATGCTAAAAGAAAAGAAATTGCTGTTCACCAGAGGTGGGCCTGCAAGTGAGCGTTGGTCTTCAAGCGAGCCGCGTGCTATATATATGTATAAACAATTTAAGCCTACTCCCCTAGCGAGTTTGTCAGCTGGGTTTGAGATCCGCCACGTAGAAAGCAGCTCCGATAAAAAGTTATACGACGCCTCGCATTGGATGCGCTTCTTTGGATAACGATCAAACTGATTGAACCTTATCAGTAAGGCTTTATAACTGGAAGCGTATGTATCTGCATGAAGAAAGATCCCCTGTCATCAGACATTCATCCATCGCATGCGTGATTCGGCTGCCAACGACTGTTGACTGTCATAACAACGCAGAAACACTCTTGCCAAAAGGCGCTACTTTGGACTGAGTAGGCAATTGAAAAGAAAAGTCCTCCTCTCGATGAACAAAGCCCAAACTCTATAAGTCACTAAGTTTTCCCGAAAAACGGTTCGCGTTTATTTCGCTTTACGCATCAACAACGGCGAATGCTCCAGTTGATGGAACTTTGAGTTGTACAAAGAAATAGTTCAACGAATCAAGATACAGCGAGTTTTAGGCTTCTTTTGCTTGTTTTATATAATTATAATGACTTAGCATTAATTTTAACGAGTTTAATATTCGGTGTATCTATTTTAACGATATTCGCTATTGCTTGGGCAGCTGTGTTCGTAAACTACTCGACAAAGCGGTAACCCGCCAAGTCCAAAAATGGTGAAGACCCACGATTAACACAAGAAATGATTACCAATGAATTGGGCTTGAGCGTTTTGTAACCGCTGAAGTCATTTACGGCCGTGCTCCTCCTTCAATTTAGGGACCTACAATTTACACTAAGCCGCCTCCGCACGGCTGATGGTTTTTTTCATGAGGAGCCTTTATTTCATGTGCGAAATGCACTCGTAGGGGTGGACATTCCCTGCCAAGGGGCGACCGCAATTAGAAAATTTAATTTAAATTAATTTTCAATAACTTTTTGGATGTTAGTAGTATGACACCAGGACTTGAACCCGATTCTTCCGGATGGCAGTACGCAATGCTAATCACTTGGCTATCGCGGTCTTAAATAGAAGTTGTTATTTTTTTCATATTTCTCACCTTTATAGCGCTAATTTTCTTCTGCAACAACTCTTTGATCTTATCCTTAACCATATTATCATGCAAGCAACTGTAGAGAACGCGACCAACTAATACATTTGCCCATACAACACTGCCGGATGGGCCCAAAAATAACGACTGATCAATACCTTGCCATAATTCCTTTGCATGGCGTTTAGAGCGACGTGACTAAAATATGAAAAAAAAAAAATTTTTGAATTATTTAATATACATTAGATGTACATGTAACTATTATTTTTTCCATAATGCGGGCATAAATATTTGTTAAAAAATTATTCAAAATTAATAATAAAAAAATAAATTAAGTAATTTCATAGCATACTTTTTGTGCTTTATCCAATGGGTTTGGTTTCATATGAACTGGAATTTTAGTTTCTTTACAAGCGCTCTTGAAAGTATAAGAAAAATAAATTATAATTAAAAAATATATAAATAATAATAAAAATAAAGAAACATATTACAAAACTATGATAATTAATTTATTAACAAAAAATATAATAAGTAAATTGCATAAGCAAAGTTAAATAAAATCTAGAAATATATATAATTGAAATCAGGAAAGAAATTTATGTTAATTCATTTTGGGATGAAATATATGTATGTACATATTATATTAGGTCTAGTAAAAAGTATTCCATTATTTTCCCAATAAATGGCATTATTTATCTGTATTTCGCGTTATCCAGTCTAATCGGGTTCCGGCGGAATGGCGTTAGAGAGATGACATTTCGTACTAAAAAAAAAACTTTTTTGTCATTTTTGTGATTGGTTAATTCAGTTTTTTGGAGCGTTCGTCAAATATGGACACTAACAAAGAGAAAATACGATATATTTTACGGTATTTCTGCGATAAGGGCGAAAATGCAAACCAGGCGGCTGAAAATGTAAACAGCGTATTGATACTGTTACAGTCAATAACGAAATGGAAGACCAATTGTCGAAAATCTCGATAAAATTGTGGACATGTAAGCACTGTTTCGATTTCCCGAGGGCTAAAGGTTACAGAATAAGCCGTTTGGAGCCATTTTATTAAGGCTGGATACGAAAAGAAGCTTGATGTCGCAGGAGTTAACGCACAAGCCCCCATGGACCGAATGTCCATTTGCGAGTCGCATACCATTTCTGAAGCGTTTGGTAATCCCTTACGGCAATGTCAAGTGAAAGCGGTCGTGGTCGAAACGCGGTGAGCCACAGGAAACGATGACCAAGACAGGATCTTTCTGTCTTTCTGTGTGTTTGATGGGATGGGCAGGGAATTATCTATCCTAGAACAATTGGATCGTCTGAAGGTAGCAATCATCAGGACAACACCAGCACACTCACACCCATAGTGATTTCCCAAAAGCTCCGGGAGCTTGGTTGGGTGGTTTTTATGCATCCACCTTATAGTGCGGACCTGGCACCAAGTGATTACCACCGATTTCCTGTCTTGGCAAAAAATTTTGCAGGTGAAAAATTCGCCTTAAGAAAGGCTTGTAAAAATCGACTGTCTTAATTTTTTGTCAATAGGAACAAGGGGTTCTGTGAGAGAGGCATAATGAAAATACATTTAAAATGCCAATAAGTTAACGAACAAAACGACGCATATTTGGCCCAAGTCGAATCATTCTAACTATGGTAATTAAAGCCTTCAACTTATGAAAAAATAATGCATTTTTTTTCTTTACCCAATATCTGAACAAATCGGTTGAATTCAGGCTATATGACATATTCCTCCGATTTCGATGATTTTCGGTGAATTTATAATACAAAATTTCACGCTCTAAAATGCTTTTTCGACGAATTATGTACCCAAAACCTCATACGTAAACAAATTGGTTGAATGGGCGGTATATGATATAGTCCTCCGATTTTCAGTGACATTGTTGTTTTTTATCATACCAAGTCTAATGCTTTTAGATATTTGGTTGACGGAGTTTTGGAAAAAAACTCATTTTAGTAATCGGTGCCTGGGAGCTATGTTATAGCTGTCCGTGCTCGATTATTTTCAGCACCACTGTTCTTAGATGCTTTTCTGAGATTTATGACCCATAATCTTAAGTCTGGAAAATCGTTCGTATATATGTATGTATGTATTGACCAGTGCGAACGAATTTCCGTTTAAATGTGCATCTGTGTACCAAATTTGGATGAAATATCTTAAACAGGCACTAGTTTATGTTCTAACAGACCGACGGATCGACGGACATGGCTAAATCAACTCAACTCGTCATTCTGACCCGATGGTAAAGACTTTGATGGGCCTATCTCTTCTTCTTCTGGCACTTAAATATTTCGGAGCAAAGTTAGTATACAGTTTCAGGTTCAAAAATGATATTTAAATAATCAATAATAAATCAATAACCACACGCTCAAACCACACCTGATAAATAGCCATGAAACGTATGTAATCGGGCGGATTACGTGCTGCGCACGAGCTCATTAGTAGACCCTCAAATGTATCAGTTGGCGATGGCACCACTTCCATATCATCCGGAATATCTTTAAATGTTTCCGATTTATCCGTCTTATCTGTTTTACCCTCCACCACCAATGGCGGTGCCATATCCGCTGGTAATACGTGCGACTCATTCTCCACACTATTCTCATTTTCAACTGGTTCCATACGCATTTGCGCAGCTTTTGCTGCCGCCCGTTGTAGTTCAGCATCGTCGATTAGTTTAAGATTTGGCAAGCGCAACACCTGATCGTGCACATCGCCCTCACTGGCCGCTACAAAGCGGCGATACCAATCCTCTTTCTCACGATCGCCACGAGAAAATAATATTAAACGCACTTCATCGCCGCAAGGTATGAGATTATCCGTGTCTTGTGTGTTGTCTTGTAGTTGTTGAAGCTATGGGCAGAAAATAATGAAAATAAATAAACAATGAATTAGGGAGAAATTAATATTTCAAATTTATGTACTATGTATTTACATCAGCATTCATAACAGTCGCTGCGAAATCAATATCCTGCATATTGGCCACCTTCTCTTTCGTTTCGGCATACTGTTCTAGAATGTCGCTTGAAACCTGTGACATTCTACTATCAACGGATATTAAATCGCTCTTACTGCCACGTGCTGAGAGTTGAGTTGAAGGGTTCTCCGATGGCTCTATTATAGCATCTTCATCAGTGCCATTTTTGATAATCAATTGAATTGGATATTTGCGATTAAAGTATCTGTAATTTTTAATAAAAAAGATTATAAAAAAACAATGATTTGTATTTGTTTTTGTATTTGCATTTATGTACCTCTTGCGCGCCAAACCCAGTGGCAGAAGTTCGACGCTGCAACCGAGCAAATTAAAAACCCGATGACTGGTAAAGTGAATATGTTTAAGTTCAATCGGTGTCTCATTCCACATAATCCGTTTCGGTATGCGCGCATTTGTTGTTGAAACACGCAAATAGGTGCCGTCAAGTCTCAAATAAACCGAATTAGTTTGTGATATATGATAAGTGAGTGGATCGTAGCTGAAAATCTCATTCATCCAACCCTACAATCCAAAAAAAACTCTGTAATTATAAATATGTTACTTTAAATTGATCTGCGACGCAAGAACTATACAAATTAAACCCCGAAGACTCGGTAAATAACCCGGGGGACGAATTGCAAAAGGTTGACACAAGGTGTTCCTTACCCAATCCAAATGTAGATGTAGATCGAGGTGAGATGGTTTCCGAAGGTAGCATTCGGGGTCTAATAGTGCATATCAGGTGCTCTGGAATAGTTCTATTTATGAAGGGCAGACGACCTTACGCTCTGTCAGAAAGATATCGGGAATTGCTCATTTGGAAATCAAAGAAATTGTTGGCAATTTCACACAACTGTTCTCTATACTGACGTTGAATTTGAGTGCGATCTGCTTTGTTGTTGTTGTAATACCCACGAAAAATCTTCCCCAAATTGGTTCTCAGGGAATATTGCGATACGGACAGTCTTTGGTCAGACAAAAATTCGCGTCGTTCCGGCATAAAGACCCGACTGTCGCGGGAACTATTGCATTTTAGTCGCCTCTTACAAGAGGCATGCTTTAAAGTGGGTAAATTCTTAAACCCTTATCCCACACGATGCGCGATCTATCGTTTAGTTTGTTTACAGCGAACAATTTTGCCAATCGCTCCGAATTCTTTTTTATGTCTCGAAGAAATAATTTGAGTGCAGGAAAGTGAAAAGAGTTGATCAGTACGGTCGTTGTTGTATATTTGGCAAAAATTCGTGGACAATGATAACTTTGTGAGACGATCGTGTTGCGAAATCCAAGAGTTTTATTTCCACAAATTTGTTTTTCTATAAATTTTCTCTCCCCAACACAGCAGGGAAGACAGGGAAGAGATTAAACTGACACTGACTATTTCCTGACCTCCTTCTTTTTTTACCGACATGAAGTATTCCCTGATACCTGACTCGACATCTTATATGTCCAGAAAATGCTAGGCAGACTGGTCAAAGCGATATATAATCAGTCACCAGGGAAATGAATTCTCTATCACGGAATTGGTAAGCTGACAAAAAATATAATAAAAAAGAAATAAAAATTATGTTCAATATACCGGAATGTTGAGATTACCACACTCACCGGCAAAAAAAATCTTTCTGTTTCGATTATGCAGGCGAAAAGGACCTTCCGCTTCTATGGTAATGTATGTCGGTGTATACCACTTGGGTTCCAGCTCATACGGATGTAAAAGCCTATAAAAAGGCGGCCGACCAGGCTCGCAATAACGCCCAACGACTGCCTCAGACTATTTTAGCGAGGAATAGTTAAGGTCTTGGAACTCTTCCAACGTAGTACGTACCACTAAATTATTGTGGGACAGCGTGGGGCTAGACATACCAAACTGTTGCTTGCATTAAGCGAAAGTAGTATTCTTATGGGTGAGGTATCATCTTTATAAGCTAAGTAAAGGCGAATCGGTTGTGTGTAGAGCATGTATAATACCGAGGAAGATGAGACGCTGGATAACTACCTTTACGAGTGTCCGGCCTCTAGTCGAAGGAGACAAGTAAGCTATTCATAAACACTTAGTTGGGATACTTTGTTGAGCACAATCAGCCTGCTCACTGGCTAAGCTGCGGTCACTTTGGATCCGGTCCTCAACCTCCTTCATTCAGCCAGCTCTTACAGTAATAACTAGAAAGTCCTTTCCAACAACGATATTAAACTCATTATATTGCGTGGACTGGAAATTGGATCTTTCCTCCAGCAGTACAAAAGGGTTGGCCTCGCCAATCAGTGTGAATATTAGTTGAGAGGTATTTAGAGACAATTCCATCTTTACGCGTAATATCACGAAAGAAAGCTCCAAGGCTGTTCAACAAAGATTATCGAGGTAATTGATGCCGTTTAAGAACAGAAATAGATCTCCAGCATTTGGTTGGACCTACAGTTTTAGGCCACGGTTGATAGGTCTCATAAAAAGAGAAGGTTTTTATTTCATGCCAAAAATAGACAAAGACGAATGGCAAAGGCAAGCAAGAGGTTTATATGGCTTACTCGTTAGCCGCCTGCTAGTTATACTAGGTCGAAATAAAGACTGGCCTCTGTTAAAACGTCATAGTCGAAGACCCTAACCCACTATTTAGGTTTCAATAAGGACAGATTATTGATTATATTTAGTACTTACAGCGTACGACTTTATAGTCTTGTGCTCTTCCACTGCGGGCACCTCACAAATCGGCAAATTCGTGTAGTCTGGTATCTCGAAGTCGGATCTTTCGGGATGGTGTTCGAAAAATTTATAAATAAATGATCGTGCCATTATGCTCAATGAATCGGCAATAGCGAAACTCATCAGGCATGCCAACACGCCACGTATGAAACCATGCACAGGCAAGAGCAGAACTACAATAAGTGCGGCCAATCGGCTAATTGGCATGCTGGCGGCAAACTTCCTTTTCGGTTGCCTTAGAAGAGTATCGACTTCATGTTGATTTTCTTGCTGTAGTATTTCAGCAGCTTGCCGTAACGTTTCCAATTCATTTTGTCGTCTACGTACTTCCGTTTTGCTGGGCAACTCGTGTGCTTGTCCTGGTGTAGGTGGTTTATCCTGTGTACTTTTACTAAAATGTAAATGCAAATCATGACGATTGGCGGTTGAAGCGCTTGGCTCTTCTGCACCCGCTGCAGCGTCATTTGCCGCAGTTGTAGGTAGTGTGTCCTCCATCATCTCAACACCCGACTCGATTTCCACTTCCTTTTTACCGGCTATAATACCATGCTTTTTCATTTTCGCTGCCGTTTTCTTATTATCCCTTGCCACCGTCTCCGTTGGCACCATCGGCGCTGCACGATCTGCTTGATCTGTTGGCGATTGACGACGGCGTCGCATAAATGTGTCCACTAACGAACCGGTTGACGAAGCATTCGAGCCGGCCGTTTCCTTCTTCATTGGCTTTATAGCAGCTGTGCCGAATGCGGTGGAAATCGTAGCCGAAGAGAGAGCAGCAGTCGCTTGACCTGGTTGTTGCTGAGAAGGTCCGTGCGTTTGTTGAGAGTTATGATGATGATGATGATGATGATGTGCTTTTGATTTCACTTTAGACTTGAGGTTGGCTAAGCCGCGACGCAGGCGGGAACGTTCTACCTCGCCCTCGAGCAGTGGTTCACCCTCTACTGATGAGTCCGATTCCGCGCCACCCTTCAAATGTGGCGATTTACGTTCCAAATCAAAGGGCAAATCGTCGCTGATGGAAGAGTGTGTGGTGGGATTATCGGGATCTGAGTCTGGATCGTTTAGTTGTTGTTGGAAATATTGTCGGGAACTTTCAGCTAGAAATATTTATAAAACAAGGAGAATTTATGTTTCCAAATGAATGGTTTTAAAAGAAATTCGTGCTCACCTTTTGGTACTGATGTAGAGAGCGTTGCTTGTGTTGTTGTTTTCGAAGATTTTATGTCCTCAAACGTCTGTGAAACTTTACCCTTAATTAATTTCCAAGTACCAACCGATGCTGTATCGTTTCCCGAGAGCGCTGCTATAAGATTTGGTCCAGAAGTTGTTGGCGAAACGCCTTCGATGCTACCCGATCTAGATCGGTTTGAAAGAAAATTTTTGCATCAATATTATTTATTATTTATTATGAATGAAAGCACAAAGCATAAAGAGATCGCTCAAATGGGAAAAATATATATGTATGTCAAATATTGCCTTGCCATTGACTAAAAGTTTTTAGAGTAGAAAAATAATTCCGCTCAACGTTAACTTCCCGTTATCGAAGTTATTCGTTTTTAATAATTTTTTACTGAATGTTTCATTCGGAAACGTTTACTTTCATATTTCCTAGCTCCAAGACGTTTACCAAACAGACCCCAAATTGACATGGCAAACAAATTTTTCACGCCGAAGTAATGTTTCTTAGGGTGTTTATGCCAAAGAGTTGAATACCTCGGAAAGTAAATCTTCCCTCACGTTCCTGGGAACTCATCGAAGTATAGCCCAGTATAATTTCCTTTTCTTGTTGGGTGTATGCATCCCTTACGCGATGATAGGTGGGTCTGAAATAATATTTATTTGCGCTTCCGCAACAAATGTCAGAACAAAAATGATGATTCTGTATTTTAAGGTTGAATTTTTTTTTTTTTTGGTTTTGATACCAAACCTATTCGGCGCTCTTTTGTCTTCTACAAAATCTCGTTAAGGATTTTGGATAACGCAATTTTTTTTTTTTGCTCACAGGTTATCTTTGGCAACTAGAAATGATATGCAATTGGTTTTAAAGTGAAAAAAATATTCCAAAATCACATTTTTCAAACTGGGATTATTCGGAAGCTCTTGCGTCCATTTAGCTGAAATGTTCATGGTATCTTCACAAATACAGCTTTTTTTATTAATTTAGTGCGGATTTTTTAGTCAAAAGACAATTGTGTTGTGCAGCCCACCATCTAGGCTAGTGCAGAATAAATGTGGAAGCGGTTTTATGTTCGCAAAATAAGCGGGCCGTAGGGGGGTGGTTAGACTCATTAGGATTGTAATGTATTCGGTGACTCAAATATTTATTATAAATACGAGATTTTAGCTGAAAATTGGTCTCATAGAAAATTGCAAAAAAAAAAAATTGTGGTAGGAAAGGGGGATGACTAATTTTTTTCAACATATAATCCCCAAATGCCGATGACACGTATACCGATTTCGCAAAATTTTTTTCTTGGTTGATGTTGGTCGCACAGGAACCTGGCCCAATGCGAACTGGCTGTGCTGGCTTTTCCTGATTTGTTTTCTGTCAAGATTTTGACCAAAGCCAATTTCTACTGTCAGAAGCACAGGCAAATAGAATATAGATCTACTAGTTTTCATACGCGACTGATAATTTTTCATCGCCCTACAATTCATTAGCTTTTCCAAATAGATCGCTCCCATCCACACTTTCCAAAACGCAAATAGGAACCTCAAAACGATATCTTAGTATTATATAAATCGATCCCTGATTCCAAGCAAAAATCAATTTTTATACAAAAAATATGAGGTAAATCGGATCGATTTTTCTTAAATCAAACCTCTAAAGGTTTAAAGATAGGTTTAAGGTCCACTCCCGAAAAGAAAAGTTATTTATATGTAAGCCTAGGCAAAAAGATACCTGTGTTCCAGATATTGGGTAAATCCAACTACAAATACAAATTTTTCGAATAAATCAGCACCAAAGAAAAAAGGCTGCAAACACAAAATCGGACGATTTAAAAATAAATTCATTTTTGTCACAGGTCAACTGTCTTGAAAATTCTTTCTTACCGGAAGCTTATGTTATACGCATAAAATATCCTCCAAAGCTGTGACCAAATATAGTACTAGGTATTTCTAAACTATATTCCATAAAAGGCTTTGTAGTGCTTGATTCACGCAATCGGTAAGAAAGAATTTTCCGGACAGTTGACCTGTGACAAAAATGAATTTATTTTTAAATCGTCCGATTTTGTATTTGCAGGTTTTTTTCTTTGGTGCTGATTTATTTGAAAAATTTGTATTTGTAGTTTGATCTGAAACACAGGTATCCTTTTGCCTAGTACGTGGATCAAGCACTACAAAGCCTTTTATGGAATATAGTTTAGAAATACCTAGTACTATTGGGTTGCCCAAAAAGTAATTGCGGATTTTTCATATAGTCGGCGTTGACAAATTTTTTCAACGGCTTGTGACTCTGTAATTGCATTCTGTTTTCTGTCAGTTATCAGCTGTTACTTTTAGCTTGCTTTAGAAAAAAAGTGCGCGAAATTTTGTTTACATTTGTTTGTTTGGCGTCAATTTTAATATGGAGCCCACAAAGGAGCATTTTCGTCATATTTTACTTTATTATTTCCGTAAAGGAAAAAACGCGGAGCAGGTTGCTAAAAAGTTACGAGATGTGTATGGTGATGAAGCCTTAAAAGGAAGACAGTGTCAAAATTGGTTTCGCAAATTCCGTTCTGGAGATTTTTCACTGAAAGATGAGCCACGTTCAGGTCGGCCAAATGAAGTTGATGATGACCAAATCAAAGCATTAATCGAATTGGATCGTCATGTAACTGAGCGTGAGATAGGAGAGAAGTTAAATATACCAAAATCAACCGTTCATTATCACATAAAAAGTCTTGGACTGGTGAAAAAGCTTGATATTTGGGTACCACATGTATTGAAAGAAATTCATTTAACACACCGAATCAACGCTTGTGATATGCACCTTAAACGCAATGAATTCGAACCGTTTCTAAAGAAAATCATAACTGGGGCGGAAAAATGGATTGTTTACAATAACGTTAGTCGAAAAAGATCATGGTCCAAGCATGGTGAACCAGCTCAAACCACTTCAAAGGCTGATATCCACCAAAAGAAGGTTATGCTGTCTGTTTGGTGGGTTTGGAAGGGTGTCGTATATTTTGAGCTGCTTACAAGGAACCAAACGATTAATTCGGATGTTTACTGTCAACAATTGGACAAATTGAATACAGCCATCAAGGAGAAGCGATCAGAATTTGTCAATCGTAAAGGTGTCATATTCCACCAGGACAACGCTAGACTGCACACATCTTTGGTCACTCGCCAAAAACTGAGTGAGCTTGGCTGGGAACTTTTGATGCATCCACCATATAGCCCTGACCTTGCACCATCAGACTACCATTTTTTTCGATCTTTGCAGAACTCCCTAAATGGTAAAACTTTCGGCAATGATGAGGCTATAAAATCGCACTTGGTTCAGTTTTTTTGCAGATAAAGGCCAGAAGTTATATTTGCCAGGAAGATGACAAAAGGTTATCGAACAAAATGGCAATTATATATTTGATTAAAGTTCATTCTAAGTTTTATTAAAAATGCATTTACTTTCTTTTAAAAAATCCGCAATTACTTTTTGGGAAACCCAATATATTTGGTCTCATTCAACAGGTTCACATATATATGTTAGTACTCTCTAAGACTTATAGCTCTCGGAGGAATATTCAAAGTGTTCGCCACGTAGATGCGCCCCCAAACTTGAGTAAGACTCTTCGTGTGCTGTCTCGCTTAACTTCGTGAACACATAAAATTTTCAGGTGAAATAGAAATTGTGGTGTAATGGAATGTAGTCAAGCTTCTGGCCATACTCAATTCCTACACCTGCGTTCACGTTGCGCACCATGAAAACGTGAGCACCCCTTGTGCAAGATACGGTTGTTTAGCTCTGGGTCACGGCTAAAAGAGAGGAATTCTCAGTGGAGACACTCCGATTTATTCGGTTTAAGGGTCTGTTCACCACAGGTGCAACTGCCAGTGAGCGTCGGCTCTGAAGCAAGCCGCTCGCTATATAAACTTACTCGCCTAGTGAGGTTTTGCTCTAGGTTTGGGACGCGACACGTAGAAAGCAGCTCCAATGAAAAAATTTAACATGGCTCTGATGAGACACCCCCTTTCTGACTACAACCTCTGCAAACGAGTAACGGATCACCATTTGAGAGAGGTGCATGCTCTCCGGAATGTCCCGTTGGGAAAATGCCGCTGCCTATCTGGTTGATGTTCTCGGAAAAATAATGGCTGACAGCACATTCGTGCGATGGCCGAGACAAGGACGGAAACGAGTAGGTCCTTGTGACATTTACTACAGCGACTATATAAACGAGGAGGAGAAAATTCGGTGTCGAATTTCGACATGCTCAATAAACAAAAAGCGGCTGGAGCTGACAAGCCTACCGGCAGAGCTATTCAAACCGGACGAAAGCATGTCCAATCCATAAACAAGGACCCTCCTTGATATCGCATACAAGGTCGTTTCAAGGGCATTGTGCGAAAGAGTAAAGCCCACTGTCAATAAACTGATTGGACCTTATCAGTGTGGCTTTAAACCTGGTAAGTCAACCATTAACCAGATTTTCACCAAGCGCAAAATTTTGGAAAATACTCGTGAAAAGAGGATCGACACTCACACCTTCTTCGTCTATTTCAAAGCTGCCTTCGACAGCACGCGAAGGAGCTGGCTTTACGCCGCTATATCTGTATGTATCTGGTATCCCCGCAGAACTTATACAGTTAAGCAAGCTGGCTTTAAGCAACACTAAAAGCTCCTTCAGAGGGAAGGACCTCTCCGAGCAGTCCCATACCCAACGAGGTTTCAGACAGGGCGATGCCTGATCGTGTGACTTTTTTTACTTTTTTGCTGGAGAAAATAATAAGAGCTGCAGAGCTATATAGAGAAGGTACAATCTTCAAATCTGCTGGCGTTCGCCACCGATTTTGACATTATTGACAACCGCGCCGTGAGTTCTGCTTTCTCCAGACTGGATAAGGGAGCGAAGCGAATGGATCTGGTAGTGAACGTGAACAAAACAAAATATCTCTCAAACAAATAGTCATTTAATTCTCGACTTGGCTCCCATATCACCCATATCATTGTTTATAGTCGTACATAACTTCGTCTTTCTTGGAACCAGCATTACACCAACAACAATATCAGCCTGGAAATCCAACGCAGAGTCACTCTTGCCGACTTCGGACTGAGTAGGCAATTAAAAAGTAAAGTCCTCTCTCAGCGAACGAAAACCAAACTCTACAAATCGCTTATCGTTCCTACTGTATGACGCAGAAGCGTG